ATTATTATTATTATTATTATTATTATTATTATTATTATTATTATTATTATTATTAAAGACAATTGCATGAGTCCTAATGCTATTACGAAAATGCAATGATTTGCCATTAGAGATATTCAATAATCCGTGTAAAATTTGAATACATTCCTCTTATGTTTCTAATTAGAACGTTCAGGTAACGTTGGCGTTTTGCCTATATACAGACATACGTCTCTGGTACGTTCATCGTTCGGTACACGAAATACACGTGTGTATATATAGCTATAAAGTTCCGAATAATACGCCAGCTAGGAGGATTTCATGGGCAATTACAGCGAATGACAGAAATATTGCTGTTTGCTGCTGGCCGAAACTTTGTCACCGTCTCTACGTATTGATAAACAGGAAAGCATACGATTCACGTATTCACGTGTTAAACCTTTGTGTTATGTTCTTTATACGAAATCGGAAAAAAAGAGAAGATATTTTTTAGTAAAAAATGTCTTCTTTTTGAAGTATAAATTTCTTTAGAATCAGGGTAATTTGAAAATTGTGATAACGGAAGGAAGAACGTGAAACGGAAGAAACCGTGAAATCCCGATGAAACAAAAATAATTAATTAATTAATAAAATTCAATATTATAATTTAATTCTATATATTAATTAATTAATTAATCAAATTCTAAATATAAAAATTCAGTGTCACAATATGTTTGTCCACTAATAATTCCGAAATTACTCAACTTATCTTAATGAAACTTTTATTTCACGTGATTTTTTCCAACTTAGCACATAGCACAATTTTTATTTAGAAATTATCTAGGTTCTGTAAGGTTCTTTCAATAGATGGCACTGTATTACAATTAAAATTATTTCGAAGCTTGGTTTTCTTTGAAGGTTTCACTTCTACCATGTGTGATCTGCACACATCTGTTTTTTTTTCTTTGTCTACGTTGATAAAAATTTTCTCGAAAAATATTTCATTCTTTTTTTTCTTCCTACTCTCGCGCCACTTAATTACTAAGAAATCAACGTACAACAAGCTTGTCACTTTGCAAATATTTGTCACTGAGTTATTCAACGAAATAAAAGTTTTTTTTAATTTAATTGCCACCCCTCCCCAAACACGTCGTACGAAGAATATATACTCGTTTGATTGTGAATACTCTCGCCATACCATTGTGTATATCAAAAGCAAACAGTAAAAGAAAAAAAATAAATAAATAAAATAACCAAAAGAAAAAAGAAAAAAAAAGAAAAATAAAAAACATTTCTATCAATAGAGTTGAACTTAATTTTTAAAAATAATCACTAGAGGAAAACTATCTTTCTCTTTACTCCCTCTCTCTCTCTCTCTCTTTCTCTCTTTTTTTTCTCTATGAAGTTCTGATCTAAGTCTTATATATCTTTTTATATTTATTTCGAACTACGTGTACAGTCAGAATTTATAAAATAAATGAATGATCGGACGGACGGGCAAGAGAAAAAGAGATCTGAAAATAGAAAAGCAAATCCTATCTTCGATATTTCAAACAAATAATATAACTTCACTCTTTCTTTCTCTCTCTCTCTCTCTCTCTCTCTCTCTCTCTCTCTATTTCTCTCTCTCTCTATTTCTCTTTCTCTCTTTTTCTCCTATCCTACATATCGTATATCATGAATGTCTCGACATAGAGAAACCCGTTCTGAATCCACCTACGTATAAATATATATATATATATATGTAACATCAAAATGTTCATAACGAAATATTAAAATATCTATATTATGTGTACATTTAAATACTGCATCGATATAAATCCTATATGAGAAAAAAAAAAGAAGAATTGTGCACAATACCGGATACTTTAAATATTTTAATATTCAATATATTTAATCCTAGATATTTTATTTTACTAGTACGATAAAAGAATGACGACGACGACAACAACAACGACGATAACGACGACAACGGGATATTGGTTACGTTATTACGAAAAAGGGTTATATTGTAATATCCGAGCTAAAGTAACTGACTCATTTGAAAATCAAACTAACGTTTACGACTTATCGCATGAATTAGCTAAAATACTTTACCAAGCACATTCGGCAAACAAGTAAAGCTTATATTTGCCATACGCTTGAACGTCGCGTTGACACGTAGGGTGGTGGTTAGTGTAAGGTATAGTTTCGAAAAGGGATGCTATTGTAAGGTAGATAGATGCGTTACGTTCGCAAGGCCATTAAAAGCTATCTTCGTTTACGATCTGTTATATATCTCGTGCGTGTAATGTGTACTTACTTATGCGTGTTTGTTGAGAACGAGGTTCGTCGTAACCCTCTGGTTTATCTGCCTCTGAAAACACGAAAGCATTTATTGGATCACGTAATTGCACCTAAGATTGAAATATTTTAGACGTTTCATTCTACGATATTCTCAAATAAAATTAGACGAAATAATCAAGGAGACAAAAGAAATGAGAAAATTTTATATTTAATAAAAAAAAACATGTATGCAGATAACACAAGTTAAAAGTGAAACCTTCAAAAAAACATGTTGTAAGTAGAATAATTTATTATATAATATTAATATATTATTATTCTTACTTTTCTTGTAATTATTTATTAATAATTATAAAAATTCGCGCCTGTTGGAATGCAACCCTCCAGACACACTTTGAAAATGTGGCTTGAGAGCGCCATCTACTAAGACAGAATTTTTTTTCGGACCAAACTGTTCATACACGCGTATATTACGGGTTGCCTATCTTTCGGGCAGAAAAAAATTCCGTCCCAGTAGATGCCGCTCGCAAGCAGTATTTTCAAATGTGTCTGGAGGGTTGCATTTCTACAGGCGCACATTTTTATAATTATTAAATGAATAATATTATAATAATATTAAATAATAAATTATCTTACTACTGATACTGTATTCTATCGGATATTCTTTTCAAAAAAAACTACTCACCTCTCACTGATAATTGAACTGCATACATAATCTTCGGTTCCGTGTTAACTTGACATTCGTATATACCCGAATCCGTCTTTTTAACATTATCCAACCTGAGGGTCCAAGCATCACTCCCCGGAGTATGTTGAGGACTGAACCTCGTATCACTACTGAAGGCTGCGGTACCTGCTGTAAGTATATGAAGGTCTCTGATTCTCATCCAAGACACCTGTAAACAAACACACCGAGATAGATCAGTATAACATGTTTTTTCATAGAATTTACGGTTATTGATCCACAAAAATAACATGCAAACTCGATTTCTTGACTCTTTCTCTCTCGTTCTAACTCTATTCTTTTTTTTTTTAAGTATTAAACAAATACAGGAATATCTTTTTCAAATATTTACCTTTTATCGAGTTTCAAATATCTCTCTCTCTCTCTCTCTCTCTCTCTCTCTCTCTCTCTATCGTTGAAATAAATATCAGCGAATGAACAAAGAAGAAAAATATTTGAGATGAATTGAAGCACAACAAAAAAAAAAAAGAAAAAACAAGAATAAAAAAAAGAATGTTATCCGATGTGTGTGTATCAGTGTATGTGTGTGAGAATATGGTTAGTAAACAGTACGTAGGCTTATCGGATCCTCGTATTTTTCGCTACTCGACCAGGCAAACGTTCGGATATTAGATATCCGGTTATCAGCCGGCAGTCATTTCCGGCCTATATCCAGTTACTATTTTCCCATTGGCCATTCGACGGTGGAACTGTCTCTGGTTTCATCGAGGTACCTACGCTCGAGAATAAATGTATCCTACCGATGATTTGCTGCACCAACCGAATATCGAAAGAACTTATCAAGCCCTGCTGCTGCTACTACTACGATTCGAGGTGCAGCCAGAAAAATGGAAAAAGCTAAATCACGAAAAAAGCCGCCGTCGAGTTTTCCTCTTGCTCCACTTCCACCACCCCCCCTGTTACGACTCCCAACGACTACGACGACGACGACGACGACGACGACGACTGCGACTAGGACGAGGACGAGGACGAGGACGAGGACGAAGTTGCTACACCGAGTAACGATTTTTAATAATGTTGCGAAAAGCCACGCGAATGGATCCCGAGAGTCGAACGAACTGTGAGATCTAGAAAAAGAGAAAAAGAGAGAAAGAGAGAGAGAGAGAGAGAGAGAGAGAAAGTAATAATCTCCGCAACAAAAAAAAGAAGAGGATCTCACCGACCTAGCATATAGTATACCCCGACGATCTCGAATCGCATATACACATATACATGCCACAATGTATATATATATATATATACATATATACACTAAACCAATTCAAATGTAGAAGTCGAAATATATTACGAATATATTAAAGCTACCCCTTCTGATGAGATTATCGATATAGTCCTACCTACCCAACGTTTCCCTCGTATCCCTCGTGAAAACTTTCGACTTTCGTTGAAATAAGAAAAATGAAAGTTATTCGTTAAATAAAATAGACGAAAGGATGGATGGATGGATGGATGGATGGATGGATGGATGGATGGATGGATGGGTGGATGATATACTCAAGAGAAAAAGAGACACACACTCAAAAAAAGAAGAATAAAATTGGCGAGTTTTCGTTTAGGTACTCGAACTATCGTTCAGGCATTTGGTCGAGCGCCAGTGTAACCTAATATACGCCGAATGACCCCAAAATACAGAGGAAAATCGGCTTTGAGATAGTAGCAAAAGTCGAGAAAAGAAAGAGGTTGGTTGGTGAAGGGGCAAAGCAGTCGGAAGAGAAGGGAAATACGAGAAAGGTGGAGCCGAGGCCCTCGACTGAGTTCTCTTTCGTACTTACTCGTCGTGTGCCGTCGTGCCGTTTCCTCTCTCTCTCTCTCTCTAACTTAAGACTTCGAAGGAACGTAGAAAAAGATAGAAAGAAAAAGATACGACTACGAGGGACTTGGGTAAGACGAGGGAGACAAAGGAGGGCAATACGGAGTCGGCATAACCGCTTTCATCTGCTACGTCGGCACAGACCGGAGGAATAAAAATGCGACTCTCTTTCCAGTCGCTTCGTCGTTTCCATCCCCCTACCACCCTTAACTCTTATAACACTACTACTACTACCAACTTACCAGCACCAACACACACAATGTTAGCATCTACCATCTTATAAAATCTCTCTTTCTTCTTCTCTCTTTCTTTGTCTCGCAAACCACCGCATTTCCACCAAAATGGCACCTTATACGAGCATTTTCTCTCTCTCACACACACGTTTATCCTCGCTATCTTTCTCTCTCTCTTTCTCTCTTCCCACCTATATTCCTTTCTAAAGTCTCTCTGTATAGTACGTATAACAAGAAAAATCGAGACCACGTATGAGGGGTGATAGTAGTCCGAGCTACCAACGCGTAAATTAGACGTTCAAGCGAGTGGTAGGACGGGGAGGGTGGTTTCGTGCAATTTTTGAACTCGTTCCGTTACACCGAGAAATTCTTCCTAGACACTGGTCAGACCGCAAAAGTGATCCTCTACTTTACTTCCCCTTCCCCGTCATTCCTTTCTTCTCTTTTGTAAGCGAAAGAGAGAGAGAGAGAAGTTGTGTAGGTTTGTAAGTACGTGTGTTTGAACATCTCCCCTTAAACCCCCGTCATCGTCGTCTCTTTTCTTACGTTCATTGTGTTCCGGTAAACAAGCTTCCACGCAATATAGAATTTTTCCTCGGCTAGTTCTTATCGGTGTTTTCTCGTTTACCTTCTCTCTTTCTCTCTTTCTCTCTCTCTCTCTCTCACTCTCTTACTTAGTTATTTCCGAGTTACTTTATTCTACTTTACTACGAGAAAAGACACAATTTTGTGTAGTTGATTTTCTTGTTCCCATACAATTTGTAATTTCTCGAAATTGCTCGTGTCGTTCGGTAACATCGTGTCGGTGCTCTTTGAAATTGCATCAAGTATAATTGCGTGTAACTCGGCTTTGTCGCGTTTATCAGTCTATTCTATTTTGAATGAACCAAATTTCTCCCTTACGTCAACTATAATACTCTATTACTACTACTACTACTACAACACAAAGAGAGAGAGAGAGAGAGAGAGAGAACTTTGATCGAGTAACAAACGGAAGAGCTTCGCGAGATTCCCTCAACATTATTAAAATCCATCGCGTTTACTTTCTCATCTCTGTTCCCTTAGAACAGCAGCAGTAGCAGCAGCAGCAGCAGATTTGACAATTCTGGTTTGACAATTCCCAGCACACTTATGTGCTCTTTCAACCGTGTCGCCACTGGAAAAGGCCAACGAGATTCACGATGGATGGATGAAAGAAGCTCGATGAATTAAGGGAAGAATTTCTTCTCCTTTTCTACTTTCAACGATGAAAGCCTTAGAAAGTAGAATAAATGGAAGAAAGGAAAAAGAGAGAAGAATGACAAGCTTCTATCTATCCTTTAAAGAGAAGAAGAAGAAAAAGAAGACTAAATTCACGATGGGTGTACTATCAAATCAATGTTCCCTACAGTTTAACTATTTACTCCTACTCCTTCAATGAGAATAGTACAATTGACTTGCGGAAATCTTTTTGTGATAAATCTTATGTTCACTTTAACTCCTATATCAAAGAATCAAATGTGTCTTCTTATTCGTCAGCAACAGGAATTTCGAACATTGATATTTGTAATAAATCAACTAATATTATACATCTCTTCATACCATACAAATATTGTATATATAACATTTTTCTATATTATAAGAAATAACAAAGTAATATAAAATATGTACGTGATCTTTTGAAGAAAAAAATAAATATTATTATTAAAATTTTATTATAATAATTTAATAATATTATGTTTATTATATATATATTACTAGGGGAGCCCCATCACGCGTTGTTGTGGCTCACAATCAGTCCGATACACACGTCTTCAAGTCAACGAATCTTTGTTAATAAACAAATAATTCGCAATAAAATAATATTGTGATTATAAATTGAGATACAAACTATCCTATCTTTCAAGTTGGATGAAACTGCACACAGTGTGAAAAATTGTATTAAAACCGGTTTAGTAGTTTAGGAGTCCATTGCGGACAAACAACGTGACACGCGCGTAATTTATATATATTAGATAATTTATATATTATAATATATTAAATATATATTAAAAATATATATATAATTAATATAATAATTAAATAATATATTTATTAAACAAAATTCGATAAAATTTCGTCGCAATTGTAGATACATACTTCAATTTGTAAGTTAGCTTTAACTTACAATATCTCTTTACAATAAAGTTACATTCAATTTACCAAAGTACACATAAGTATAAGTTCTATAAAAATTTAGTCGATTCATGAAGTACTTCGATTAAAGCTTTGAGATTTGTACCATGTTTAAAGTGCCGCTTCTTCCATCGAATTCATTTACCGAAACGAACGTTTTCACCGTCCACGTTTTTTTTAATCCGATTTCATTTATCGGAAAAAAGTCAAAATCTCATAGAGAGAGAGAGAGAGAGAGAGAGAGAGAGAAAGAGAGGGTAACAGAAAAAATTCTCTTCGAATAAAGCAACGAATAACACCGGCCAGTTACGCTTTTGAAGCCGATTATGTGAACAGATGGTAAAAAGAATCATATCTTTTCAAACATTTTTTTAAGTCAAACGATAACACAAATTTTTTGGAATAATTCGATGTAATTAATCTTTATAATAAACTAGGGGTGCCCCGCCACGCGTTGCTGTGGCTCACAATCATCAACGAATTACCTTATACCGCCATCTGTCAGAATCTTATCGAACTAACAGAGATAATCATGACTCTTTGTTAATAAACAAATAATTGCGATTAAAAATTGAGATATAAACTATTCTATCTTTCAAGTTAGATGATACTGCATACATTGTGTAAAATTTTATTAAAATCGGTTCAGAAATTTAGGAGTCCATTGCGGACAAACAACGTGACACGAAATTTATATATATTAAGAAGAAAGATATTAACATTATGAATAATGAACTAATAAATTTACACGTCATTGTTTTGTTACATAAGAAAATAATCTTCGTTGGAACATTCGTGTATAGAAATCATGAGATAAAGATGTATAAATCTAATCTCATCTAACCAACACTAATCAGAATACCAAGAACAACAACACAACAGCCAACCGGTGGTGGTGGGTCAGCGAGCTTTTATCGATTACCTTTATTGCATTACACGTTGTCTGTTGGTGAC